CATCCTCATCAGGATCATCATCATCATCACCATCATCATCATCATCATCATCAACAATGTCACGACCGTCACAATCGTCACCATCGCCGTGGTGCCACGGTAGCCACCATACGAAGCCAAGACGCCTCAGCCTTGCAGGACTGGGCTCCTCTCTTCGGCTTAGAGGCCGGGGCGGCAGGTCAGGGATGGTCCGAGACCACAAGGAGTTTAGGGTTTAGGGGTTCAGGGTTTAGGGGTTTGGGGGGTTTAGGGTTTAGGGTTTAGGGTTTAGCGGTTTAGGGTTTAGGGGGTTTCAGGAAATCACTGTTCCCAAAAAAAGGCCTTAAAATGAGAAACGACCGCAGCTTGGCGAGCCACGGTAAAGGTGGCGCCTTGCCAAGGTTCCCGGGGTAATAAGGCCTAGGCCTGCCAGAGAATATTCCACGTTGTCTCGGAACACTACTTGGTTCCTGGGTAAAAGGGGACTCAGCGGCTCCGACTGTGGTTGCGATGGACATTTTCGACGAGCCCAGCACGTTCTTAGTCACTTAGTCCTCCAGCGGCAGCCTAAACCCCTAAACCCTATTCCAGGGATGAACCCCTAAACCCAAAATCCAATTCGTCGGCGCTCCCCAAGTTACTACTTCTGCTCCTGCCATGCTGCCGTGCTATTGCACCTCCCAAACTCCCTGCCAGAAAGTTCCGGGCAACCTTTAGGGGGGTAGGAAGGGCAGGGCTATGTGCGTTCTGGGGCCTAGGGTGCCAGCCGTGCTGGAGGCCTGAATCTTAAACTCATACCCGGAAACCTGAAAGTTGGGTGCGCGTCCCCCTCGTCCGTGCTGAGTCAACTTTTGTATGTCAGGTTCGTTTGAGGCTGTGCACTTGGTTTCCTAGCAGTCAACATCGTATTCATCTCACGCATTCCGGCTACGGGCGATTCCTTGCCAGGCAGTGCATCTGGTGCTGGATGCAGGCGCTGTGCATGCGCCACTGCCGGAGGGGAGTTGCAATAAGGTGTAGAGGCTGGAGTGGCAGGGAGACGGTTCCACTGTAGCATCACAACCTCAACCTATGTTCCCGAAGACCTGTGAAGACTACAGCTTATTATTCCTAGTCATCCTAGTTTGCTCGTCTAAGTGTTCGGCCTGAGTCGGTGTTTCTGTCCATCCACTTCAGTTTTGGAGTTCAGTGTTTAAGTTTAGGGCTTAGGGTCTTGTGGGTGTCTACCTCGCCACTTGAGTGTGAGCTATTCATTGGGCTCGTGCGTTTCGCTATTGTTTGTTATTTTACTAGTATTGTTGCTGTCATTTGTGTTTTTACTACTAAGATCTTTGCAATTGTCGACACTATGCTTGATGCGATTATTCTTAACGAGCCAGCTGGGTAGCGATCTCTCCTATGGTACTTATGGTACCGCTGAGGACGGCTTCACTATCAAGTCGGCGAAGTTTCAATTTCGGCGTGGGATGGGCGAGGACCGCCTCTGCTCTGTTCCAGCCATTAGGCCATGCTGTTCCGGATTCTGCTGAACCTTAAACCCTACCAAAGATGTGATACCCAAAAGCCCTATTCAGGCCCCTAAAGCCTAAACCCTAAGGCCCCTAAAGTCTAAACCATAAGGCCCCTAAAGCCTAAACCAAAGGCCCGTAAGCACTAGACTTGACGGCCCCTAAACCCTAAGCCCCTACATCAACTGCAAGGCTCTTGCAAGAGCTTGGTACAGGAGCTGCATGGGCTACTCCCCAACCTCCTGGAGTGGGTCTTGCCAAAATACAAGAACAAGGCGGGTTAGGGTTTAGGGTTTAGCCTTTTCTGCTTTAGGGTGCAGTGTAGGGGTTCAGGGGTTGGGCTTCAGGGTTTAGCGTTTCCAGTTACGTGACAGAAACCAATGTATATTAAGGCACCCGAATATCAACCCTGGACAGCAGGATCCCACGTGTAGGGACCCTAGGAGAGGCACCCTCATGTTCAGGACATTCTCCCTCTAAATCCTCTATAGCCCTGCGCCCCAGAAGCGGCGACAAGAAACATGACCGGAGGCGTCTCCATGCCTAACAAACCCAACCTCAAGCTCCTTTGGGATTTCGGCCAGGGTTTTAGGATCGGGGCAAAAATGGGCATGAAGCGGATGTGCCCGATGTGCAGAGTTGCGTGTTTATAACATGGTCTTACCCACAACCAATAAGTACCTGTCAATACTTGTTCCTGTAGCATTTCGCAGCCTCAAGCTTGCATTGGAAGTGTGGTGCTATCGGAAACCCTAAACCATAAACCCTAAACCCTAAACCCTAAACCTTAAACCCTAAACCCTAAACCTTAAAGGAAGTCGTGGAGCCTCGTGTCTGCCGGGCCTAGCTGTGTTTCTCAGGGGGTGGAAAGCCGTCACCGTTCTGCCCCCACCTTGTCTTAATACGGATTTTATTGCGACAGCTACTTAGGTTTATCTTGGGTCCTTAGACCAGGGATCCTGCTGTTTAGGGTTCTATTTTCCGAGGCTCCTTGCTCTCTGAAGCTCCCAAACCCTAAACCCCCAATGCTAGCCTGCTATCCATAAACCCTGAACCTGTGCGCAGGTTTTCTGTTGGGTGCAAGACCATGTCAATTCCTACATGCACGGTTATCCGAGCCCTTCGGCAGGGAAATTCATGACTTAGGTTCAGCTTGGGTGAGACTCGGGCAGTGTCGGATTGACATGAAAGGTTTAGCCGCAGTCATGACCAACACGGTGTTTTCGGTTCGACCCTCTCAACTCTCAGCAGATTTGAGGGCGTAACTTGGGGTTCGGAAGAATTAGTAGTAGCTCCTTACTGTCCCCATGTCACTGCAATATATGATGCCCCCCAAACTCTCTTCTAATACTTAAGGCCCCTCATTCTCCCAGAGGCTGGCTTCGGCAAAGTATCCTGGGGATTCGGATGCCGTAAATCCTAAACCCTAAGCCCCAAGTCCCAAGGCCCTACATCCCTAACATGTAAGTTTCATACCCCAACCCCTAAACCCTTCTCCCTAATCTCGAGATGTTAAAGGCTACGACTGAGTGTGCCAGCGTAGTGTTTTGGTTTGCAGCGGCGATGTGTGGCTAGGCAAAAAATCAGACATCAGTTCAAGTAAATGAGTTATTTTCGCCCATGGGGTGGTTTAAGTAAATAGCTTTGAACGCCACATTTCAAGTGGAAGAGCCCAGAACAGCCCAGAAGAGTTCACAGAACAGCCCAGAAAGAGCACAGGAAGAGCCCAGAAGAGCCCAGGAAGAGTCCAGGAAGAGCCCAGGAAAAACCCGGAAGAGCCCAGCAAGAGCTGGAAAAGCCCAGCAAGAGCCCAGAGTCTAGGAAGAGCCCAGGAAGAGCCCAGGAAGAGCCCAGGAAGAGCCCAGAAAGAGCCCAGAAAGAGCCCAGATAGGGGCGCCAGTGTTTTGGGAATAGGGGCGCCAATGTTTTGGGATTAGGGGCACCAGTGTTTTGTGATTAGGAGCGCCAGTGTTTTGGGATTAAAGGAACTGGGACCAAGGGCAAGACGGAACCACTAAATCCACAAAACCTAGAGAGAAAAACCTTTAGGGATTTGGAATGCCCCCAGAGAGAGAGAACTTGCTTCAATCAGCTTCAAAACGGAGTTGATCAGGGCGCCAAGCTACGCTGGCGAACCCTTAAGCTGAATCCCTAATCCCTAAACCCTTAACATTAATCCCTAAGCCCTAAACGCTGATCCCCTGCGGAAGTCACAGCTTTAAGCGGACGCACCTGACACGGCTACCTGCAGCCGCACTCAGGCCAGAGCCTGCAAAGCCGGCAAAGAATCCGATTGAACAGGTAGTAAGGGCAACATAGTGAAAGTATTCTAAGGGGCATACAGGGTTTCTTGTAAGTTGAACTCCACAGCTGAAGTGTTCAGTTCCAAGTCTCCAAATGCGAAGACTCCGAATCGAGTAGCTGGCATCCGGCCAAGGTAATCGGCAAGTGTTGAATCACGTGCAGGCGCTTCGCACTTTCTGGTTGACGGCGGGTATAGCTGATGCTTGGGTCGAGGGTTTAGGTTTTACGTTTAGAGTAGTCTTTCGGGCGTAGGGTGTAGTAAGGTTCACGAGGGACTGGGGAGTACTTGGGGGTAGAGGGAGTCGGGACTTGCCAGTATTGAGCTGCCAGGGCCTGTTGGCACCTAGGCCGAAAGAACTCAAGGCCTGTCTGCGCAGCATGTGACAGGTGTTACAGCCGGGCACGGATGACGGATGCCTGCTGCACCCTGGCACGAGACGACCTTAACAGTAGATATCATGTCGATCTGGCGATCCTTTGTGTTGTGCAACTGCTCCGTGTTGTGCCAAGGGAGCCATACACGCAAGCTCGCAGCCCCTTTGCACCGAGGGTGGGTGAGTTGGAGATGGTGGAGATGTCGTCACTCGAGAGTATATTATGGCAGGGTTTAGGGCTTTGAGGCTTCAAGGGGTTCAGCTTATGGCAGGGTTTGGGTCTTTATGAGGCTCTAAAGGGTTCATATTATGGTAGGTTTCAGGGCTGTCTCAGGCTTTAAGGGGTTCAGGGTTTACGGTTGTGTGAGGGGTTCAGGATGCAAGTTTTGGGAGACGAACGCGTCTTTAGAGGTTGTGTGTTTGAGGATCAGGAGGAGCAGCACTGCAAAACCTAAGCTTAAACTTGCAGCTGCTGCGACTCCGCAAAAGTTCGTTTTCAGAGCCTGGAGTCTTTGAATCTCCTGGCTGGAGGTTTTGCCTGTTGGGTTTTAGCTTGAGCATCACGAAACCTTGATCTGAAAGGCCTCTCCCCCCGACCACACCGCATCCAGAAGTTGCAGGAAGTGGCTCTACCCAGACATCGCCCCCGATGTCGCCTTACCCAAATCCCAAACTGTAAGCCATCAGGCTCCACACCGTTGAAGCTCTCAGCCCATTTCCAACGCCCAATACGGATGCCTGAATTATCAGTCTGGTTTCCTCGGCCTCCTTATGATCGATTCTGCTACAGGAAACCCCAAAGCCCTATGCTGCCTGTGCTCATTCTGCGCCCTATAGTAGATGGTCAAACTCATCTAAGTTGACGTGGTGCTTTTGGTTGAGTCGCATGTTTGTAGATACTTCATGGTTTTTGATCAATCTACAAGGTTCTGTTGAGAGCTCACTGGGCGCTCGCTCGAAAAAATAATAGACTATCGGACCCTAAGCCTCAAGCCCTAAACCCTCAAGGCCCTAAATGCCCGAGACCCTAAACCCTAAACGCCCGAATCCCTAAACCTTCAAGCTGACGCCTCAGAAATTTGAAAGGCCCGAGCCAGTACTTGCATTGATTTGTATACAGCTGTATACCCTAAACCCTAAACCCTTATAGTGCGTCCCTAGATCCCTTACAGGAACACGTATGTCGCTAGTTGCTAAGTGCCATGATCCAAGTAGCCTGGCTCTTGAGGAAGTCTCAGCTCGGAGTGCGGGCCTCAGCTATTCTTAGGTGGTTATGCTTCGGAGCCTAAACCCTAAACCCTAAACCCTCAACCCTAAACCCCAAACCCTAAACCCTAAACCCTAAACCCTAAACCCTAAACCCTAAACCCTAAACCCTAAACCCTCGGAGCCGGGAAACTCGGCAAGTCCGGAGGATGATGGCGGAGTCAGACTTTCTTGAAGGTCCATGAGGTTTTGGGTTCAAGGCTCTAGGGTTTGGGGTTTGGGCTTGAGGTCCGTAGGTTGAGACTTCTTTGTCCGCCATCAAGTGCATGTTCAGTAATTATGACCCTACAACCCTAAATGAGGTTCGGCTGGGGTTTAGTGGTTCATATGGGGTGTCTGTCCGGAGACATTTTGTTTTGGTTTCCTGCAAGCAGCCCCCTGCCCATGTAATCTAGTTTGTCATGTAGTTTGAAGTATGTAACTTAAAACATACAACACACATCGTGTAGCACATACTTCATATGACAGAGACCATATAACACATATTATGTGTATATGTATATACATATATCTACACATGTACGCAGATGGTAACTATTATGTGGGATATGATATGTAACACTCAGCATATAGCAGAAAGCATAGCCAGTAGTGTATATTGTAGTACTGACATCCAGTACAGAAGCGATTGTATAATGTACAACATAGAACGTTTGATGCACAGGCGCACGTATGTATATATATATATATACGTTTGTGCATATGTATATACATATGCTCATATCATTATATTAAGAGCAGCACAAAATGTTTAATGTCTGATGCAGGGTGAATGAAAATAACACAAAACAAGGGCGGGGTATAGCATACAGCATGTGATATATACCACTCTAATCGAAGCTGTTTAAAACATGATATTAGATATGTATCATATACCTTATAACATGCAGCACGCCGTACACAAAACTTCATACATCGTACAGTAAACCTATGTGACATGATCTAGGACATAGAACAGTTTTCGCAGTCCAAAATATACAGAAGTTAACATGGCACATAGAATGTAAAATGTTTACCATAGACTGTTATATATTCATATAGCAGATTGTAAGTGAGAGTTTTGGTGGTGGCTTTCAGCTTCGAGCGGTTTAGGCGTCGCCCTTGTTGGCAGGACGACACGCCACCGCGCAGACACAGCCCACGATCGGGTGTTGGGGAAGCTGGGGAGGAGAAGGAGGAGGAAGAAGAGGACAGTCGCGCCAGACAGTACCCACTATCATGAGGGGTGGCGGTGTGCATGTGTTGCAGTTTGGTTCCATGGAATGCGAGAACTGGGTGGCGTTCATGATGCGCGGAAAGGGGTTTGTGAGCTTTGAGATCTTTGAGGTTTCGCAGCTGCGGAGTACACCCATACTGCCGTGTCACAACATTCACGTGCGATGACTACCGTTGGCTGCATGGGACAATCATATAGTAGTCCGTTGTTTCGCAGAAAGAAGCTACAACATGGGGCTGGGATCGTTACCGATACTATTGCTTGGTGTTCCTGATCAAAACCATACTGTAGCATTCTACTACCCTTTAGTAAACCCCAGCTGGGATTCCCTATACATTACTCTTAAGGATTGAGGCTATTGGGTTTCTAACTTTTGGGCTTCTGCTATAGTCTTATGCAGGTCCCCATGTTTGGAGTTGCCACACCCGGACCCCAAACCCTAAACCCTAAACCCTAAACCCTAAACCCTAAACCCTAAACCGTGGCTCCCAGCTCCCGAAGATGGTGGCCATGATTTTGAGATGCATGGAAGGCTGAAGGCGAAAAAGGCTTTCGGACCGAGCGCCTTCTTTCGGAGTTCAGGGTTTAGGGTTTAGGGTTTCGGAGTTTAGGGTTTAGGGTTTAGGGTTCAGGGTTTAGGGTTTAGGGTTCAGGGTTTAGGGTTTAGGGTTTCGGAGTTTAGGTTTGGCTGAGGGAAGCATGTTACGGGCTGCCCCAACTAACCGCGTCCGTGGCAAGGTAATATCCCCACGCGACCCACCAAAAAAAGCACCTATTGTGTTCCTACATACTTACATGGTTTTATACCCCCTAGACAGCTAAATCCTATTTGATTGTAGTGGCCCGCTTTCTAGAGGCTGCGACATTTTGTTGAGTCTCAGAGTCATCCCTGGCAGGACGTCTTCATGCATCTAGAGATGCGGCGCTTCTTCTTTCGGTGACAGCGACGAGACCCCAAGCACCTTCTGACGGGTTGGGTGTAGGAAGGCTAAAGGTTTAGTGGCATCAGCATCTAGACTCCTTGTCTGCAAAAAGCAAGCTTGAACGACATGGCGAGAAGGCGCTACAATGGGGGTGTACTAAAAGTTTGTAATGGCCCTGCGTTCCAATCTTTCCTACGTAAGATATTGGATGGACCCTGTTCTTCGATTTCGCACTTACCGGCCCTTCGTAAGCATCCCAAACTGTGGAGCTATTGTCTAGTATTCCTCGTATTCTGGGTGCGGTTTATGTCCAGCAGCAGCGTGAGGGTTCGGCTAGGTTATCTTCCTTCAAGGGTTCCATAACTTTCCACGATCTGCTGTGGAGCTAGGCACCTGTGATGGGGGGTTGAACAATGCTGCCGTATGGTCCTTTACAACTATTCTTGAATATACCCCAAAACCAAAGTCAAACTCCCTAAACCCTAAACCCCAA